TCAGGATGGCTAGTCGCCACAAGGTTTCGGAGTTCTCGTCTCCGCTGGCAAACTTCAACGTCACATCTTTTGACCCATTGTGGCAAGTTCTAGCGCGTCAGATTTAGTACTGTAAAGTATTCGATGATTTGCCGGGAAAGGGGATTCCTCCATCTTAGTCTCCTCATCCTCACTTCCCTTTTTGATGACCGAGGATGAGCGAGGGCTCAGGCGTGTGCCTCCGTCTAACTCATGCCAGGTACACAGCGCACAATAATTCGCCCGTTGTTATCGATGGCTGCATATTTCACCGCAAGTGTTGTTATGGGAGATATATTTTCTGCCACACACAAGCATGTATCCGACTTCATGGCAAGGCCGGTCAAGGGGGCTTGACAACCACTGGACGACATTCCTGTTAGCGGTTCTCCATTCATGCCATTCTAGTGTGCAGCCATCATGACCGGTCTGGCGTCATTGTTCAAGACCTCGCTGCCTCAAGGTCATCCACGCTTTTGCAGTGACCTGAAGTCACACGACCGACAACTGGGGCATACCCGCGTCCGCACAGCCGCAGCTACCCATGAGGCCACTTGAACGCACCTCCGCCGGCAACCGTAACCTAAGCCACTGGGACCCCACCCCTCGTAAATGCAACACACACCGACTGAAGACCGCTTGAACTTCGTCCACGAGCCTACAAAAGCGGCTGCCACCACTGTCCTGATGACTATCAAGCATGACTGGACGCAGTCAACACCAGCCCTGGCTTCGCCAGTGGCCATTACCGCCTGAGAGGAAAACTCTGGGTTCTGTACACAATAAACCCCTCATTCTGGTGCCTTCCGTCTTCTCCCTTCAGCACTAGAATTTGACCTGATAATTGTAGCTCACAGACTGCACACACTCACACTGCGACTGACACTCTCCGTGAACGGACGCGTATCTCTGTTGCAAGCACACAGCCACCTTACGGCAACCTGCCCTGTGTACAGAATAAACTAGCCCTCACAGCTCCCTGACTTCTGGCATTAGACGAAACGAACTTATTGCGCGTGGTTTAAGTTGATCTCACATCTTTGACCGCCGCACCATCTCGCAGGTGCATGATCGGAAGGGGCTGGCATTGTGTCGGCATCGACGACAATCATCCTCCGTCTCCCTGCGACTTCAGGGTTGCAATTACTGTGGGCGAGTTCGACAGGGCTAGTTCCGTCTGTCAAACGTTAGCATTTGACAGGCGGTCACCATGTCTGCCAATGATTTCCTCAGTGGTCTTAACTTATTTTGAGACGCTTCGGCGAACTCGTCAAGACATCCTTGTAGCGTCCATTATAGCCGCCTTCGCAACGAGCACCGGTAGCAATGTCGCCATACAAAGTCACCTCGACAGGCGGCCAGTTTATGTTTTGTTGGACAGCGGCTTCAGCTGAGCTGTTTAACGCACTTTAATTGGTGAGCATAAGGTCGTTCATCCGGTGAATGACATGTAATATTTCCCTCAGGTGGCGGGTTGGTGTCGATACCTGGCCGCTCTTCACAATTCGGTTCCATCAGCATTACAGAAAACATTAAACTGGGTGAAGACTATCGCAAGCACCCAGTCCTGCCTCATGGCGAACTACTCTGAAGTTTGTCCTTTTCCGTGACGCGCGTTATTATGCTCTCATGAAGCTACCTGACCATTGATGCAAACTTTTCGGAGCATGCAGCCTCCTTAATGATTTTCCCGAATCTTTTCGTTCAGTTAATAATGTTGGACGCCTTGCTAAGATCCATGAATATGGCGTGAAGATCTATTCCCATTCCAATGCGTCGTGACCATCCTTGTCGTTCTACGAATAGCATCTGCATTAAGTCTACAAAAGACATCTTTGATCTGGGCGCACCGTCAGTTATTGAAGAGGATGGGTAAGAAAGTTCCGCCGATAAAAAAGTATTCGTATGCAATTCCCTATACAAGGTTCTGCTAGCCCAAACTATTAGAGGAGCCACCAACGATGTGGTTAAATCTATTTCTAACCGGAGTAAATATCATTTAGAGGGGTTTCATTAATCGATTGCATCAACAAAGCAGTAAGTAAGGTCGGCAACTTGTGCACCGACCGCGTTATCGTCAAACCTATCTCATGTTGCAGTCGCCAATCGCCTTCACAGTGGATTGAGGAACTCATTCTTCTTCAGGGCATTTGGTTAAGATCATAGTGCGCATCTTCAGGCAAGTGTATCCAGGACTACAGTTGATTTTTTTCTGCACGGCTGGCTTTTTAATAAAGAGGCAATCTAGACCATGTTAACTAGACAAATGGCATGAAGATATGACTGATAAAACCTATAGATTTCCTTGTAATGCTTGAAAAAGTTAGTTACAAGGCAAACGCATATATTCGTTGAGGTGCAGGAATTATTGATTACCTCGGAGGCATGCTTTTTCCCTGCTCTTGTTGTTTTAATCTATATATATAAAAATGGAAGGTTTTTTTTCTGTGTTATATCTAATCTCCGAAAGTACTGCACCGATTTCGCTGAAATTTGGACACAACCCGACCCCCGCATAGGGCCGGGTTTTTGGCTGGTCAGTTGTGTAATTATGCCGATGGTATGCCTGTGATGGGTAAAAAACCGGATTTTTTCCGACATAACAACGTCACCTGCTGCGGCCACTTGACCTACATCGCGCGCGGACGCATGTGCGCCCAGACTGTGGCCACTTGAACGACATTCGCTCAAACGCACGTGCTCCACCCGACTGCCGCGCTCACCCCACCACCCACCCTGCAGGCACTTGAGCAGGCCCTCCACCCTCTCTGGGCCGATGCAAACTGGGCCGGTAGGCAAACCACCCACCCTGAAGCAAAAAAACACGCAACTCTTGGGCTCCACTTGAACTCGCCCCACACTACCCTCATTAATGTGGCTGTCGCCGTTTCCGTTGGGATTCTCGGGCGCGGCGACTGGATGCGGTTCCTTCCCCACTTTCCCCTCACAACTCACATAAGGGTACTGTCACCCAGTGTCAGCTCAGTGTCGTGCAACCCGGCTTGCGGAGGCCCGCTTGCGGTCACGGCCACCGCGTTCTGCAGCTTCAGGTCTGCTTCGTTCAACAACAGAATGAACACTATCCACTGAGAGTGGCTGAAAGACGCCAGCGAAGAACAGCAGACCAGCATCAAACACGCCTCCGTGCTCAGCATTCACTCTGCGTGATGCTGTTGTGAACGACGGTACGAAAACCACCGTTGGAAGACTAATGATTTTAGGGTAAGGTGATATCATATATACCGGCTGTCGGAGACCGATTTCAACGCATTATCCATTTACTTTTCGGGATTACGCCGATGGATATCACTTCAACGTTAAGATGGTGAATCCAGTCAGTGACGAAGTAACGCACATGGAATGAAGTGTAATCAACCACTACTCCTACTGACTTATGATTCGGCAGAATGT